TGCCTTCGTTGCAGAGATCACTCAATACATAGCATACGAATAGAGTTAACAAAACGATTATTGTTAACAAAACCAGAAAATAGAAGAGAATATAATTGACCACAAATACAGTCTTTATGAGACACGAGGTGGTGGACGCCCGGGTGCACCCACACGTCCGACACGGCTTCCCTTTCTTAGTGCCAGCCGTTCCAGTGGTTGCGAATCCGATGAACAGATTGATCACAATAATCACTGACACGAAGACCGTGAACACAACGTACCACACCTTCAAGTCACTCAACCTATTGGTCAACAAATGGTTCGCAAATTAAGTTCAAACAAACTTTTCAAGCATTAGTCAAATGACTGCAAACCAGTAGTATTTTCTTCGGATGAGATCATGAGTGAGTCGATCGGCAATACTCGTCGAGTGGAGGATAGAGACGATACTCATTATGAGTCCAAAGGCCGCCAATAAAGTCGATGTAATCGTGCCGTAAGGGAGCCGAAGGAAACATGATCTGCAACAGGCTATCAATACATACCATTATAAGCAACGATTCAGACATATTGTCATTATATGAATATTTGACTGCATTTGCAAATCGCACGGCAAGTGTACTACACATCAAATGGCAGACAAGCTATCAATGAATTTGTCCACAAAATAGCATTCAATTGATACATAAGTTACAAATAAATGACATGTAATTGGTTCACCAAATGACAGTCAAACGGCAAATAGGTTCGTGAGGTACAGATGAGAGTGACATAGAGGACAGTGTGGACAGGGAGGACAGTGGCGCAGTGACTTACACTTGCATTGCGTGCAATGACAGGTGCAAAAGCAACACAAACAGCTATCAGTACGTCCAGTGGTTGGGGCTATACTTGAGTACGAGATGTCCGCGTTTCGCAACATCTTTCACTGATTGTAGTGATGGTAGGGATGCTTATGATGGCAGTGATGGCACACGCGTCACAACCGATTCACTGTATGCCACCTCCAACTCAATACTCATCCAATGGCTTATCGATTGAAATATATATAACTTTCACTGTATTTACAAAAGTTGTCAAAAAGTTTGAAAAGTGAAAGAATCAGTGAAATGGTCCACAAGTGAGACAATTATACAAATGGTTCATATGTTGGATGATATGGTAGGGTATGAGTGGACGACGCCCTTCAGTCCTTCACTGTATGAATGAAGTGATGCCATAATACCTGAAAAGGTGGTTGAGTTGAGTTACACCTACTTCTGGAAGCGTTGCAAACTTCCATTGGCTATGAGTTCATTGTATTGGATACGAGTGCTGTTGTGATGAGAGACTAACTCTACTCTACGATAGCGTTGTTAACCAAACCATTCAATGTATAGATTGGGTTGCATTGCATTCAATGACT